AAAAGTGCATTTCATCTTTGATGATTCACCAAAATAAACAAATTTACTAGTGAGTAAAACTGGACACAGGCTAAAGAAAGCATAAATCTGTTTTTCCATAAAATTAAAATAACTATAAGACTGCAAAATAACAAAAATTGTTGTCTTCCCATTCTAACGAACCTTCTTCAAATCGGTGGCTTTTATAGTGCCTTCCTCAGAGACCTGAACCCGATACTTCTTCCCAGTTCGCTCATCAGCTAACATCAGCGTTCCTTTCAAATTTGGCGGCGGGTCCACGGCGGCGGAGCAACTCGAAGATTGCAAAAATCCTGTATGGACACCGCCAGGCTGATCAAGCGACGACGCGGAGATATGAGCTGCGAGCACCGCCAAGCGGCCTCGAGCCAGAGATGAATGATCGAAACCCTCCATTTTCTCCGATTGTTTTCCGACGTGCGTATGTATCGAAATCTATGTATTGGGAATTGGAGAGTTGCAGCGAGAAGACTCCGCCTTCTATTACCAAAAGGATGGATTTATACCAATTAGGAATTTATTTATTTATTAGTTAGAAATGATATGAATCATACAAGAGCACGTGGTCCCAGTTCAACTTTTTTTTGTATATATTTTTTTATTATTATTTTTATTTAATTAATAAATATTTTTCATATTCACACTTCATAAAAAAAATAAAAATTAATTATTATATAATTTTTTAAAACAATACTTATTATAAATAAGAGGGAATATAATATATTGGAAAATAACTTTACCTTTAATACGAATTAAATAGAAATTTAGCATTGTTTATTGATGATTTAGCATCATAAAGAGCAAAGAGCATCGCACTCAGTATATGTACATGTTATGATTTTCTATTCTCAATTATCCGAACTTTTGTGATGTTAATACAGGAGATGTTGCTCATTGAAGCCTTCTAAGAATTGTATATCAGGTCTATAGTTTTTTAACAAATTTATAGAATAATTACTAATGAACCATTCAATAGTTAAACCCTCATATAAAAATGAGTAAAGAAATAAGAGATAGAATAAAGTTTGACATGTCTCGAATTATTTATGTATTATTATCATTTTTAAAGTGAACAACTATTAAATTTATAGATTATTTTGATCATTCCTTATATCACTAAATTGTGTTAAAGTAATTTAATCCCATTGCTAATATGCAAACACTAAAAACATAATGAAAAAATTATTCATAGAAGTGTTTTGTTATACTAATCTATATATATAATTATAAGTTATCCTATTACTCCTTTTTTAAGGGATTAATTATGACAAAAAAAATTATTATTCTTTTTCATTAAAGTATAAAAATCTAATTAAGAGTCATTAATATAACGATTTAATTATAAATATGATATATACTATTATATGAATTTTTATTTTAATTAAAGTTTTTTATATATAATATTTATTTTTTTTTTATAACATGTGCTAATACTAGTTTAATCTTATAGTGAGAACGTTGACAGGGGAAGAGTGGGAGGTGGGGTGATGGTGGGCTCCACATAACAATACTGTCTCGAAATGCGCAAATATTATCCTTTTAGGATCCGATAAGGATGGCTGGACCTTGGACTTCGGATCTTTTTCTTCCGAATTTTATTTATGTAAAATTGCATGTCATTAAATGCATATTTGGTGGGGAAGTCAATTCCCTAAAATCTATCTTATCTATTAAAAAAACATAAGAATAAAATTAAATTATATTTAAAAATAGTTTCTCGCTAAAATCAGTAATTATATACTAAAGAAAAATAATTTTTATATTCTTTTCAAGTGTTTTCAAATAAAAATATAAAAAAGCACTAAATGCATTACCATGATTCGGTTGCTATTTGTCATGTAATATTCTCGATTTTAGTTGTAAGAAAAATATTCTAGGATTTTGTGTTGTGTACATCTTGAATTTTTAAAATGTCATGCCATATTCTCGATTTTAGTTGTAAAAAAAATATTCTAGGATTCTGTGTTGTATACATCTTGAATTTATTTAAAATCAAACAATTTTAATGATATCTTAATCTATTCTTTTATGGTAACGATTTTGTTGAGTGTATTTTTTTTTAGCAGATTTTTTAAATTCACCAATTAATAAATGAAATTTCATTCTAATTCTAGATAACACATATATTTTTTATTTTTAAATTATTTAGAAATAAAATAAAACTGCAATGGAATTGGACATGTTATATTCTTAATTTTACTTTTATATTTTTTTATAAAACATCGTTGTTTTTTTAAGTAATTTTAATAAAAAAAAAAAACTTGTTCAATAAATTTAAAAAGAAATAATAGTTTAAATAAATAGTTTGAAAAAAAATTAAGAATAGAATATCATTTAATGTGACTTTATGATTAGTTAGTAGTGGCATTATGAAATAAATAAATGAAAATATAATTACTTTATTAATACCAAACAAATTAAGGTGCCAATTGATTACTTAATCTCGTTCTTATTTTGCCAAATAAAGAATATTACATTAACATATGTGCAACAATTTTGTTGGGAAATGTGAATTTCTTCAAATAAAAAAAAAAAGTTAATTTGTTATGGAATAATTTATATTACACATATAATTGATCAAGGCTTCTTTTTTGGGTATTTAATATATTATGTATTGATTAATTATATATGTTTTTTGTTACCATCCATGTGCACATTATCCATTGGAAGAGATAAATAGAGATTTTTTTTATTTGTCATTTAATTGAGGTATTTTTTTGAATGTAATACTAATGTATAGTTCCTTTACCCATTTTCATCACATAAAAGAGAAATTCGAAAGTAACAAATTATTTTTTTATTAAATTAAATCGATTGGATTAAATTTGCTAATATATGATTTCAAACCAAATATTAAAATAAAAAATATATGTTAAGTGGGTGACAAAATAAAAATGACTAAAATTATGTAAGAATATTAGAAAAGGTGACAAAATAAAAATGACTAAAATTATGTAAGAATATTAGAAACTATATTACATATAAAAGTTGAATAATAAGATTGTAACATTTAGATAAAAGTACAATAAAGTGAAAAAAAATTAATGATAGAATTTTATAACGTCTTTTGGAGAGAAACGAAAATGTTTTTATTAATTGCTTTGCTAGTAATTTGGAGAGAAACGAAATTGTTTTTATTAATTGCTTTGCTAGTAATTATATATATATATATATATATGTCGAGTTGAGATCACATGAGAATGGTAGATAATGAAAGAAATAAGAATAAATCTAGACCATTAGATCCATCATATCAATGATCAAGATGAAGTTAACTGTTAGTAACTAATGGTCAATCACCTAATAGCAATGTCGTAAATAAATATATCTATCATGGTCAAATATACAATTTAGACCACTAACTAAGGACATTTAAGTCATTACATAATTATCCACTATCTATGGGCCCCACCAATCCCAACAACCTCCCATCTCTCACACACAAACACACACTCACCTCCCTCTATCACACACAAACACACACTCAAATTCACACGCACATAGGCACAAAATGGACAAACACACACAGTCACACACACATCCGTCGGTTGGTCGTCGGTCTGCCATATTACTGCCATTACACACTTAGATCTGCCGATTAGTGTAGCCGGCGACCGCCGTCCTACCACTCGCATCGTCGCCGCCGTCCTACCACTCGCATCGTCGCCGCCGTCAGTCGATTGGTGTCGACGGCCACTGATCGGAGCTCGCAGGCGGCCAAATTCGGCACCGACTAGCACAAAATCCGCCTCTACCGACCAGGCGACGGCCACATTGATCGACCAGGCGGCGGTTATCTCCATCTCTAGCTCCTCCGATTCAAGGGCCTACGTTTCAGCGGAGCCCATCATCTCACTTTCCAGCTCGTCGTCCATGCGATCCAATGGTGGGTTGTGGTGCGGCCGCAGACAACCGGTCTTCGGGCGGATGGCGTCTGTCGGAGTGTAGAGGGCTAGTTGGATTTTGGTTTTTTTGTTTTTGGTTATTTTTCTGTTCAGGGACTAGGTTTTGAGAATTGAACAAGTCATAAGGACCTTTATGCAATTTTTTTTTTTGTATTTTAATATGTGTGGCATTCTTGTAATTTATTAAAAGTTTAATAAATGCACATTATAATACTAAAAATGCACAATATTGGGTGTTTAAATGCACATCATAATTTTATTAAACTACAGATTTTGCACTGATTGTTGTTCGGTCGATTTGGTTGTTTCAAACGTTTTAAATAATAACGTCGCCGTATAATCAAGGTATTCAAAATTTTAAGAGAACGAAACAGTTAATTAAATCAGAATACGGAAAAAAAATAAAATCGAACAGACAAATCTTAGTCCGGTCATTATCGGTCACTAGTGCAGTCTGATAGACATTAATATGCAACATGTCTAATATTATTGTGCATTGTATCTATCGCTTTTGTGCATTCTAATATGGCCTTTTATCTCAAAGTAAATTATAACTAATATGAATTGTTTGGTGTATTCTACGGATTAACCGATTAATCGTATAACTCTAAATAATAATAACAAAATATATGTATATTAATATTGTACTTAGTATTTTCATAATTTAATTTAACAATTTTATATTTTTTTTGGTTGAAAAAACATAATATATGAAATTCTAAATTTGATGTTGTGCATTCATACTTTATATTATGTGCATTTAGTCTAACATTAATGTGCAGTATATTGTGTGTGTATTTTTTTTTACTGCGTTACCATTCTGGAAAAAAATAATATCACGTATATCAAAATATTGTGCATTTGATCTGACAAAAATGTGCAGTCTGTCTTTTAGTAAGTTGCATCTTGTTTAGTAATACTGTGCAGTCGGATAATTATAAATGTGATATATTTAGTACTTTTATATTTTTTTATTTGTTATTTCTAGTAGACTTTTTAAAACCATATTATATATATGTATAAAAATCAGATATAAAAATAATATTTTTTAAATATTTTCGAAATTATACATTTGGCCCAATGTGCTCAATTGAAATATAACCAAAAATTTATAAATTACAACTAAGTCCTTCAATCCTATCTAATTCTCAAAATCATGCCCACAAGCTTGAAGTTGGTGGAGCAATTCTCTCAGGACGGCGGCGGCGGCGGCGGCGGACATCGGGAAAGAGACGGCGGCGGCGATCGATGTCCAGGTCGGCGGTCATTGTCTGGAACGGGGACGACGAAGATGGCAGGCGGAGAGGGCATGCGTCTAGAAGATTTACCGGTTGGCGTCGCCGGAGGAGACGACCTTCTCGTCGTCGGAATGGAGAGGCGGGGTAGGCGGATGCAAATAAAAGGCGGCGACTGGCGTTGGCGTTCTCGGGCATCAGTCGGCGGCAAGCAGCAAACGAAACAGTGCTGCGGCGGCGCTCTGTGGAGTGGCCG